TCACCTGTCTGCCCCTCGTTATCTGCCCTATAAGTTCCTGTCTCTTGTAATCTAGTATTGTCGGTTATTGTGAATGTTACCCTGAGTGTGTGTGTGTGTCTCATCTACCCGTATCTGCCTTGTTGTCTCTACATTAAACATCCTTATTTGAATCCTTGTCGTCCTCGTTATCCTGCCTGCCTCCACACACCTGGACCGTGACAGTAAGGTTGGCTGCATTTCCATATTGCATATTTAAAGCCATCTTTTCTCACCCTCATGTTGTTCGAAACTATTATTTTCTTCTGTGGAGCACGAAATGAGTTGTTAGGCGAAATGTCTGAGTTGATTCTTTCCAAAAAAACAGAAGAGTATCATCAAAGTAGCCCAGCTTCATTTGGGGTGAACTATTTATTTAATAGGCCTGTTGCTGCACATCATTTCTCTCTCTTACTCCTGTTCACTTTTCCAGATTCCAGCCCGTAGGTCTGGTGGAGCGAATCCAGGCCATCGCCCAGAATGTGTCCGACATGGCTATACGAATGGAGCAGATTCTGAAGAAGACTAACATCCCCGCCAGAGGTGAATCTCTCATTTATGTTTGGGTGGCAAGGACTGAAATTCCTTGTTGCAATGAATATTGTAGGAAAGGAAAATCAGGAATTAGATATAATTAGATAGGAATTGGCAAACCCATTAAATGGAAAGCATATGAAACTAATACTTACTTTTTACAGAGAAAATAAAGGTCTCATATTACTCTCCTCGATATTTCAAACTCTATATCAAGATACCTAAATCTGCGATCAAAAAGCTCAAATGATCTGAGCTATGACAGCCACATGTATTTTATGCTTCCTTACTCTTCCATACTTTATAATTTACTATACATCAACAATTGGCTCATTGTGTCTAAACTTATATTAAGTATAATTCAATGCGTTAAGTACTTAAAGAGCTACATATAACACGTAAGATTGATTTACTCACCAAAAACTCTCATTTTAGTCTGTTAGTGAGCCAAAATCATATTGAAATGCACTGTTTAAAATTAGACATGAAGAGGTCTGGGCTCAGATCCATTTTGTCAGGACAGAACATTCGTTCATTATTATTTAATGCAACTTGATTGGACTTCATCACTATAATGCCAATCATCTCTTGCCGCTATTTGTACAGTGAGCGCCTCTGTAGGGTTTGATATCTCTAAAGTTTGGTGGAATTCCAGCAGGTTTTTAGCGAGCATATGTGCAAGCTGTGTGGGAGTTTTATTTAAACTAGCTATTAATGTAAGACAAATGAAATTCATACTTCTGCTCTGCCATTTGGACAGAATGTTCAAATATTCTGCTTATCATACTCTGCTTGCTTTTTTATGAGAACTTTTATGTTGAAAATGAGCATTTCGTGTGCAATTGAATTTTTTTTTTTTTTTTTTTTTTATGACTTTTTGTACATTTCCAATTTCTAATATTTAAGTTTTGACTTGACAATATCTTTTGATCTAAAGTCATACATGTTCTCAGTCTCCAGTAACTATACCTGTTCACAGTGAATGTGAAAATGTGACATAACGTGACACAATCCCAGACAATAGGAATATATATGGTCACACTTTAGTTTGGCCACCAATTCTCACTATTACCTAACTATTAACTTCAACTACAACTTTTGCCTCAATAAGCTTCTAATTTGGTGCTTATTAATAGTTAGTAAGGTAGTTGTTAGTTTAGGTATGATGTAGGATTAAGGGATCTAAAATATGGTAATGCATAATGAGGCATTAATATGTGCTTTATAAGTACTAACAAACAGCCCATATGCTAGTAATATGCATGCTAATAAGCAGCAAGTTAATTGTGAGAATTGGTCACTAAAGTGTTAGTATGCTTTATTTTATCAATTCTCTTTGAATATGTAATTTATCTCTGTTATTACAGCTGAATTTTCAGCATCATTACTCCATATTGAAATCATTTTAATCATTACTCCATATAGAAATCATTTTAATATGCTGATTTACTGCTCAAGAAAGGTTGAAAACAGATTTTTGCTGATTAACATTTTTATGTTCATCCATCAATCAATCAATCAGTTTCCACAAAAATATTAGGTAGCATTGATAATAATAAGAATTATTATTAATAATAAAGCACCAACAATAATTGAACACCACATAATAATTGAACACTGCATTAGCATATTGAATTACACTGAACAAAATTATAAACGCAACACTTTTGTTTTTGCCCCCATTTTTCATGAGCTGAACTCAAAGATCTAAGACTTTCTATGTACACAAAAGGCAACATCCCAGTTCTTGCATGGCCAGCATACTCACCGGACATGTCACCCATTGAGCATGTTTGGGATGCTCTGGATCGGCGTATACGACAGCGTGTTCCAGTTCCTGCCAATATCCAGCAACTTCGCACAGCCATTGAAGAGGAGTGGACCAACATTCCACAGGCCACAATCAACAACCTGATCAACTCTATGTGAAGGAAATGTTTTGCACTGCGTGAGGCAAATGGTGGTCACACCTGATACTGACTGGTTTTCGGACCCCCCCAATACAGTAAAACTGCACATTTTAGAGTGGCCTTTTATTGTGGCCAGCCTAAGGCACACCTGTGCAATAATCATTCTGTCTAATCAGCATCTTGATATGCCTCACCTGTGAGGTGGATGGATTATCTTGGCAAAGGAGAAGTGCTCACTAACACAGATTTAGACAGATTTGTGAACAATATTTGAGAGAAATAGACCTTTTGTGTAAATAGCAAAAGTCTTAGATCTTTGAGTTCAGCTCATGAAAAATGGGGGCAAAAACAAAAGTGTTGCGTTTATAATTTTGTTCAGTGTATTTATCATTCTATTTAAAATTTTCTCCTGAGAAAAACCAATAACATTACAAGTGTCTCCTCTAGAGTTTAAAAAATAGATCTCAACGGGGTCACAGATTATTGTTTTCCAAGATATTAGAGTATGCAAGCAAAAGAGATTTCAATAGGCATTTATAAACTTAAAAGTTTATGGAGTGACAAGTGCGGGATGTGGGAGCGAATCTCTTAAATTAATGTTCTGTGTGTGTACAGAACACAGGAGTCATTGGATGTCTTCTGATTGAAAAGTTCAAGGGTGTTTTTCTGCTGCTTAGTATCTTTTCATAATCAAGCAGAATAGCTAGGGTGGTCATATGTGCCGATCATTGAATGACACCAAAGTATCTCAAGAGCGATTCGAAAGCATAAGGAGCCGTCTGATCTGCTCTCTATAGCTCTCGTGAATGTCATACAACGATCGATCTGCACAGTGCAAACAGCCAAAACCTGGATATTTTAGGCAATATTGAAATCCTGGCAAGGACGCGTCCCGTAAAAATGGCCCGTATGTTCACCCTACGAATAGCCCATAATTCCTTTCTCTGTGAGCATGCTTGACGCATCTGAAGTAGCCTGTTCTACAAAGAACAACCTCTTTCTTCGTTAATTAGGCTGACTGGGACTGGCTACCAGTGAGAGATGGGAGTTTGCTAATCAAGGCGAGGGGATGTTTGCAATTTTCTATTCCTTTTTTCTCCCCATCTGAACAGAAAGCAGTACAGAGCTCTTAACAAAGCCCAGAGCAAGCATCATGCAGACAAGTAAAAGGTACGAGGGCAAGAGGCCGCTTTCATAATGCTTAATAAAGCAAGCTTAAAGAAAGTTGAGGAGATGGAAGAGTATATGGAGGGCTCTCCCAAAGCCTCATTAAAACCGAGAGCATTTGGATCCCACTGGTGTTCCATACTGAAGCTACTGTACTGTGGAAGAGTGCTATCAGACTGTGACTGCCTGTCCTTTTCATCTACAGGCCGAGATGGAGTTACAGGCCAGTGCGAAGTCCCAAAGGATCCCAGGTACCCGGATTGTGCCAGTAAAGTGGATGTGAGTTGACAGAGATTTTTCTAAAAAACGTTCACACTCCTTTGTCTGGTCTTTTTATTTCTTAGTTGCCTTAGAGAAAAACTGATTGGTATAAACAAACACTGGCACTCAACAAATGGATTTCGTATGGAGTGTTTTCAGAACTGTTTCATTGATTGATGTTGTTTTTTTAGATGATGTCTCATTTCTGTAGTTTTTTTTTTTCGTGTAAAGTTTGTCCTCTCTCTCTTTTTTTTTTTTTTTTCAAAAATCAGACCATCCCAGACTGTTTACCAAAACGTGCTCAGCCTTTAAGCCAAGTATAGCAAAGAAACAATGCATTTTTTTTTTTTATGGTGAGCATCCCATATCAGAGCTTTTGGTGGCACTAATGTACTGAAACTGTCATTGAAGGCAAAAAGCACTTGGAACTGTTGTTGTATTTGTACTTCACACATTTAAGAACAAGCCTGAAAATTACTTATTAAATAAAATGATTGCAGTTCATGAACTCTTTAGTCTTCATCAACTACATAAGTAACCTATGATAAACAAGTTGCTTACATAAAATACTCAGCAATCATTCAGACGGTTGCCCTCTGTGAGACACACAGTTTATCCTCATAAATCTTTTTCTGCCTCTAATCTGCACATATTGACCTACATCAACAGTCTTTTACCACATATTTTACATTTGCATATTTTCCCCATTGCATTAAATGTATTTTTTTTTATTAAATAAAATCTTGGGCTGTCAAAAGTTTAAAATAATTGATGCATTTAATGATTTGTATTGCAGTTAATGCATACAGGAGGGAATTTATTAAGAATGAATTGCTCCCGCTTAAAGCTGTTTATTTGCATGTGCTGTCTGCGCTGCTTTAGCCCCCGATTCACTAAATTAATTATGCAGATCAGGCAACAGCACAAAAACGCCCTGAAAATCTGTGCTGTGCACATTTTACACTGTGCAGTTCAGATCTCAGGACCACGTTGGATTGTTGTATTATGGAGGGTACAGCAGACCACCATGACCTGATATATTTCATATTTTTGTAGAAACCATATTTTTTGC